GGAAGTAGCTCGATGGCTGTCCGGTGCTTGCGATTCCGCGTTTCGACCGCATCCGTTAAAAATAACGGATATACCGATCGACTGTTTTTTTAACCTAGTAACAATTACAATTTATAAATGATTGAAAAATGATAATAATAAATATGCGGCTGTTTTTAACATGACATTTAAAAACGCATAAAGAACACTTATTAAGCTATATAAAGAAAAAAAAAAATATCTTTTTAATTTATTGCTAAAATAAAATGCACGATATAATTCTTTCATATTTTTTGTAGCTGTTTATAGTATAAAGTAACTATTTTTTGTGAAGCGGAAAGTTAAATATTTTAGTATAATTCGGTACTTGTCTCATTTTAATTTTCTTGAATTTATTTTACTGTATTCCATTAATTCCATAAAATATTTGCTTCGTGCAATTAGTCCATTAATGCCATTAAAGAAATTAAGAATGAGCTTGGTTATAAATATCTCCGCAATTTCATTAGTTTCATTATAACGCGTTTTGAAGCCGTCGTATATGCATATGATAAATAAAAGATGCTTATTATACATGTTCTGCGTTAATAGTACGAGCGTATGAACACCGTTTTTCCGTCCACTATTTTTCACACGTAAAACACATGGAGTGCAACAGAAGAACATATGCAATAGAGAAATCGGTACATATGAACCATGCACCAATTAAAACCAACCGTTTTCGTATCTAATTAAAAAGGTTGCGCGCGTATTCATTAAAAATGGAAATGTACAAATATTTTTATGTATATTATATATATAATTCCGCGCGTAGAGTTTTGCATAATATACATTAATTCAGATGTAGAAACGTAAAAGATCATATTAAATGTAGAAGATTACAATGCACATTTTAAATTATTTCCTTCTGCGAACAAAGAGAATAAATTCTAAAATATATTTCTACGATTGACAACGTTATTCATATTTATGTATTTTTTTTAAATAATTTTTTAATAATTACTACCTTTTTAAAAATAAATTTAAATTGTTTTCCAGTTTTTTCTATAAGTTAATAAAGAGATGGATATCAATAATTTTAATTTTGTTAAAAATATTAGTCACCAGAAAAATAAAAATTATATTATGCAAAACTTTTATAATGTAATATCGTAAATATGCCCTGTTTACATTTTGTAATGAAAAATATATATGTATATTCAATTGATAAAAAATATCAAATAGGAAGAGCGAAATAGAAGTCTGTGTGTGTTTTTATATCATCATTACATTTATTGAAACAGTATTCACGTCGATGAATATTTTTACAATATAGTATTCTATATCGCTTTTTCACTTTTATTCCTGCTCTTTTGATTCATGCTTAAGTTCTCTTATAACATGATACATAATTGATTATGAATTTTATGTACAATGCGGTCTAGTCTCTTACCTATGTAATGTGCAACATTCTGTAAGTATGCAAATCGCGGATATTGATTATCTAGTTTACGAATAGGTAAATTCTCTCGATATTTTTCCGTTTGATCACTTGTTATTCATAGGGATGTAGTATTAAATTTTATAATCGAATCACATTCGCGCTTCGAAAAATCATGGTATATAATCTGTATTGAAAATCGTCAAAACACGAAACATCGCAAATATAAATTTTTTTCCATTAAATTTAGTTCAATTAAATACTTTGATTCGATTAATTGTTTAATAAAGGTGATTTCTCAATTTATAAAATATTTTTTCACTTTGCATTTTCATTATATTTCATATAATTATATCAGTTTCTTCCTCCCCCCTCTCTCTCTCTCTCTCTCAATGATTCACAACTTTTTATCCGGAATATATGATTCGATTTATTTAATATAACAAAAAATTTATATACAAAATGTAAGAACTGCAGTATTTCCCCTCCGATTTTGATGAAAAATTCAGAAATGTTTTTTACCATTTTTAAAAATGAGTAAATTCTAATTTGTAGTTTCCAAGCTACAACGTTATAAAAAATCTATGGGTTCTAAGATAAATCGTATTTTATTTTAATCATTATGATATATTTTTTACTCATGTTACATTATATGTCGCGTGATAAACCTTTTACTTAATACTTTACCGCTAGATTCTATATTACGTGCATTGAGTTATTTAATGATCATATCTAAGGTCTTGCTTTCTCTCTCATATTTTTCTTTCCGGGAAATGCGGCTTGAAATGGAACAAATTTGGAAAGTTATTTGGAAACATTCAATTATTTTCACAAGATTGTATCGATTCAATCAAATGTATAAAAAGACAAATAGTTAAGCATTTATATTTTGTGGAATCTGGCAAAGATATCAAATCTGCAATTAAATTGATAAGACTGAAAGACCGCTGTATAATTTTATATTAATAATACACAAATAAAATTTTAACAGTAAAATTATATTTACTACATACAGAATTATTTAATTCACTTGCAAAATATAGTAAGTCCAATTATTCTCCTAAAAAAATATTATATCGAAAATTATTAATTTTTTATAAAAAAAGTAAGTATTCTATTACTTATATAATTTATATAACTTGAATATTCTATAAAACATATAAAATGAATAAAATAAATCTAAAGTTTATACATTGTAATATAAATAATTAAATAATATTTTAATAACATATTACAACAATTATTAACAATTATATTTTCTAGAGAATTCGAATAAATTGATATAGCAAAAGACAATTTATTATTAGTTCTGCAAAAGAATCTTTATCTCATTTGAAATTACATTTTGATCTTTGGAATTATACTTTCAGTACTATTATTATGATACATACTGAATGTTTATTATTAATCTATTTAAATATATTTACGTATTATCTTCCATATAGTCACTTATCTATACACGAGTTTCATCATACATTTTAATATAACATCCGTTATCTGTGATCATTGATGTCCGTTTGATTATATTTTGATTAATCGATAAATTAATTTTGATGAGTTTTGATTTTCGAAAAAAATCACTTTGACATTTCCATGGCAGAATTTGGATGAATTGGGAATGAAGCGATGTATATATTTGGAGGAGAAACATTACTTTCAATAAATTGCATTTTAGTTACTAAAACAATAAAACAAGACACATTGACATATCGAAGCATTTAGCATAAAAAATTTTATTGTTATATTAAACAAACAGAAATATATCGAGAATAGACCTATTTACTACCATTACTAGAGTGATTAGTTCTAACTGCCTTTTCATTTTTTGTTGGCATAATTCCGTATACTGTAAATATTCTCTCTTTCAATACATAATAAAAACAATCATGTTTTAACATATAGAACTTTTTATAAACTTTTTTATAAATTAAAGATTGATTTTTTCACGATAGTGTCTCTTTACATTTTCAATATAACTCACAATTGTCCAATTATTTATAATTATAAAATATCAAAATTAATTATTTTATAACATGACATTGATTTTCATACATTATCAATCTTACCTTTTTTGTGTAATATCAATCTTACTTCTTTTGTGTAAAGTAAAAACTCTGTTCCGAAATTGTATTTTTGATTTTTAAATGCGCTTTAAAAAAATTAAACTGTTATAAATGTAATGTCATTAAATTCAAAGCATAAATTCACGAAAAGTTTTAATATCACAATTATAACGACAATTGATTAAAATTTTATTTTAATGCCAAATAAAGATTTTTCTATATAAATTTTTAATTGTTTAATTGTTTAAACAATTATGTCACATATTAAAAGACTGCGATGTTTGATAAACATCAATTTCGATCTCCAATTTTCGAAAATAATATTTCATTATAATATTAACTCAATAAATATTGAAAGTTTAATTTTAACTATATAATTCGATGCAAATTATTTTTTTGTAAGATCTGACAATCTTTAAAAAAAAAAATCGCTAGATTGGACTCTTGCTTCAACAATCAATTCCTTATCAATGCAATTATCTTTCATTAATAAATATTATACGTTTAACAAAATTTGAATTGTCAAATCTGGGCAAAATTATTATGTATAATATACATAACTTATGAAATATACAAAAAATATCTAGTATATTCGAGATACTGACTTGCGTTTGAGACACAAGGTTCAGATAGAACCCTTCGCAAATTTACGATTGTACGTATACCGTACAATTAATATTATAACCAATGATATAAGCTATATACAATATTGCCCAGATTAAACGACGGAAAATGATTATCGGTCACGTGGCAATTTCTCGCACGTGCATTGTACTGTACAACAAGGTCACGGCAAACCCTACATATTTATTACTCGTTTTATGTACAAGAGCCTTAATTATCTGATGATTATTACGCAACTAGTTGATAATCGTTAAATTATAAATTTTCGATTCGTGTAATAATTATTTCGTAGCCATCGAACGGATCCAGCCATCGATATTCGATTCGAAAGCGTTGGCAATCGTAACAGATCATGCGATCGATTCGACTCTCTGCCAAACGGCGTCGTTCTATCGGTCGACGTTACATGGAATACTACGAGGCCATTACTGAATTAGTTAAAATACAAATTCTAACGGAAGTCTCGCGACAAGAGTACGAGATGAGCGGTTTCTTTTTCTTTTTTCCACTAGAGAGAGTCCACGTAAATTCGTTGAGCCACAGGTTAACATGCCGATTTAATTATTACAAAAGCACAAGTACAAGAGAGTTTCTTTGGCGAACGCTCAACCGTGATGCTATCAGGAATATCGAGAATGATTCGGCAATTTTTTTGCCGCGATGCATTTTAACACGACGATTTCATACAAAAGAGTGGAGTGTCTGTGAAAGATTTTTGTGTTAAAAACGTACGTGCGAAAGATCGTCCGCCACGTCACCGCGTTCTTCACAGGGCTTTGGTCCACTGCACTTCGGTCCGCACTGTGATTCTCTTGTCGTCGCTTCCGAGCACTCGACGAACGGATACGCGCAGCGTGTGACAGCGAGGCGTGAGCTAAAGCGATCTATCGCGGTCGGCCGGGCGATTTTTCCGAGCGTGTACCGTTTCGTGATCGTTGAACGCCGCGTTTTCACTTTGGACGTTGTCTCTCCCGACCGTTGGACACGTTTGACTTTCTTTCTTTCTTTTTCTTTTTCTTTCTTTCTTTTTTTTTTTTTTTTAAGATGCCCGCAATTCACGACACGGCCGCTCACCTTAACAAATTTGCAACTATGAGTGTGATGCTAGCGAGTAAAATTGTCGGTGCCACACCGCAGCTGCCGCCATGCTGCATCGCCGCCGGATGTTCGCCTGCAAGAACAGAAACGTATAAATCGACTTTAATCCATCTGGTCTCTATTTTGTTTTGTGCAGTAATAAGCTCGTTCAATAATTCGCATTGTCATCTTTCATCTAAAACTTGTATTTGTATTTGTATTTTGTATTATATTTGCATCTACTTCTCGAAGATAGATTCTCATGTATTTTGTTGTATAATATTCATAAAATAAACGTTAAAATAATTTTTTAGTAATTAAATCTTTTTAACATTTTACATGTTTGTAGAAAATATAAAAACATAAACATCAGTATTTGCTAAAATAACATGATTGTTTAGTAAAAATTTAAAAAATACGTATCATTCACATTTAAGTATCAAAATAGTGAGAGAAGTAATTATTTTGGAAGATAATAACAGAATCAAATATTAAATTTGAATATCTTCATGTAATTTGTAATATATATTCATACATTCTGCGATTAATAATTGATTATTATTACCATTTGATAGTTGAAGAAGTAGTACATAGAAAATTGTTCGCACGGGAGTTGAAGCAAATTCTATTATTCTATATAGTTAATTCTATAAACCATGTCACGGTCTCTTCGCATTGAATATTATCTCGAGTAGCTACATAACGCAGGAGTTTAATTGTGCAGCCCTAATTAAATTCACAATGTAGGTTAATCGTTCGTATAACGCGTTAAACGCTAAGTAGGAACTTCCCGGCCTAACGACAATCTCATAACCAGATTCCATATAATGTAAAATAATTGGAAAAATAAAATGTCATAATAGTAGGCTCTTGTACTTTAGCGTGTATTATAATAAAAATTTAAAAAGATTAACGTTTTTGCTCTAAAGAATATATATTTTTAATTTGCATAAATCAAATCATTTATATTAAATTCTAAACATTGTTGGCAAATAAGGTATTCTAATATATTATTCTTATAAAAAAAATATGGTATTGATATAAATTAACATTACAAAGGAAACTATAACAATATTTTTGCATAATAATAATAGATATACATGTAATATACATGTAGTATTTTTCTTAAAGCGTTGATGATAGTTTGACACTTAATCATATGATATTATATATTATCTTTTTACTTATATCGTTGCAAATTTTTTTAATAATACAACAATATAATATTCAACGTACTTTTTATAAATTTTATTCTCTCGAGCAATTTTCAAATTTTTAATACAACTCAAAATGTTGCTTTCTATATTTTCCAATAAAATCATTTACGTCATCCTCCATGCCATTTCGCAATACTACGTTTACGATAGAATTTATAAAAGCGACCGTGCAATTTTCACGTGTTACTATAAAGTTTCACGTCATGGCAGAAGGGAATAACGCGCTTAACGTACGTAAGGCGCGCTACCGAAGGGTAAAACGCGTGCCGTGGTACGAACTGCGAGTGAAATATCGTTTTGTTCGGCAATAACAGCGGCAGCTACAGCGAGGTAGCACATTCGAAACAACGGCGGAAGCAACAATTTCGCGTTCTATGACGACGGCGCGCGGTATCGCCGCGTTGCGTGTAACATTCGGCGGCAATAAAGATAATCACGGGTCCGGCGCGGCGGCCGGTCCCTTCGGTAGGTAAGGCCGCAATTTACGAGCAAATTGAAAAGCTCATCGAGCGGAGTTTATCGTTACGCCCCGTTTACCTGGGCCGTTATCGAAAAAAAATGACACCGGCCCGACACTCGAAATGTCGACGGCGAGCACGGCCGACGTGCGTAATTGCGTTAATGCGCGGATAGTACGTGCCGGAACGGATAGCCCCCGGGTCGCGTACGGGTTTATCGGGAAATAATTGAAATTTGCGGTCAATTTTGCAGAGTAATCAGCTGTGTTTGAAATAACGTCGATGGCCAATGCGCCGACCGCCGCGACCGGGTGCGCCCTATAAATTAATTATGCAGACGAACTGCGCCGCATTAATTTTCATCCGGCACCGGAAGCTGCCGCTCTACGAGCCTGGCGCGCGCTCACCGGGCGTTTCCGGACGAAAGTGGGCGCGATCGATGTCTCGATGGGTTCGAAGGGTGGAAAGCGCGCCGCGGCCGTGCGGGGGCAGACAGCGCGAGGGTTGCGTGGAAACAGGGGTAGAGGGGGAGAGGAGCTTCGTCGAAGAAAGCTTGTTAAGTTCTGCAATTCGATTGCCGTGCAAACGCGCGGTGTACACGACGGGTGGCCTGTTGCCTAGTCGCCAGAGGGGTTTGTTGATTTTTGTAGTCCCCGACGTGGGGTGCTATGAATTCGAAAACATTAATTTAATCAGAGAGTGAAGAGAGGCCACCGTACTGGTATTGTAAATTTATTGCGTTGTTGGCCAGGACGCATGTAGCATTGGTGTCGAAATGAAGCGAAACGAAAGTTGTGGAATATCGATGCAGTCTTCTTTCACTGAATATCGAATGGATCACGTCACGCGAATAAAATTATGATGATGTAATATCTTCAGGAAAATCTTCACAAAATCGATCAAATCGATTCAATTTTTATATCATATGTAATCATAACTATTCTTGTAATCGTTATAAAATATTACGTTTTCGAAGATTTTTAATATTTAAACATTTTGATAGCTAAATATTAAAATAAAATTCTGTTTGTTCTGTCTGTTGGATAAAATTTAGTTTAGTGTAAAATTTTTACTGAAAGATAAAATATTATGTTATATCAAATTTTAAAATTTAGAGACAAATAGTTCTATTAAAAAAAAAAAAAATCAATTTCGGATTACACAAATCTCACTATATAAACTTAGTATTAATTTAAAATTATTTTATATATTTGCCATATATCCCGGTGTTTTAAAAAGTTCCTCTCGTTGCGAATTTTATTAAAGTTTATTTATCAAATATTTATAGTAGATTCTTTGATCAGCTTTGATCATATCAAAGGATGCGCGAAGGATGTTTATTTCGAACAGCTGCAGTTGCAACGCGAGTTCCGTGAGACGCGTGCCGGCGCTGCAAGCTCGCAATGATTGACAGCTTGGATTGGTGAACTTGCCGAACAAGATATTACATGTGTTATCGCGAGCGCTGCCGGCTGACAATAGATCAAAAGCGAGAGTATGCGTGCGGCGCCGAGTACTTGCTACGACTCCAATATACGAGCCTGTCAAACTTTATGACGGGGGATTTCGATACTTGATGAATGAACGCATGTCGTCCCTTTCGAATGTCACATTTCAGGAGGCTGCTGGCTTCCTGTCGCCAAACTTGCGTCGCAAATATATGAGCGTTTATTGATGTGAAATTTGTTGATCGCGCGCACACAATTTCGCTGGAAAATTTTCCTACTATTCCTGAAAACTTCCTATCGGACAAATTTTCTCGAAAAAAAATCGCACGATCGCACGATAATGAAAAGAGTGATATTTTAAATTTCTAAATTCCGCGGAAAAAATGGTACGTCAAATTCAATTTCTGCAGAAATATATTGTAATAGTAAAACGCATGAAGTATCGAAAAAGATTAGAATCTCATTTGATACTCAATCGAACAATAAAAAAAATTTTAATGTTGACTAATACGATTATTAACAATTGATGTATGTAACATATATTTAATAGATTAGGTTATTAAAAAAGAAACAATAATGTTAAAAAATATGCTAAAATAAAAATCATTGAGATGAATTTGATAATCATATACTAATAAATTTTTTAATTTTTAACATTCTAATAAACTTTTATATTTTTATATACATTTAAATATTATCATTTATAATATTATCATTGCGAAATCCAAACATTACAATTAGTAAAATACATTATAATGCATAGTTGCATATTTGATTGAAATGCGATTCGAAATTAGAGAGAGGGAGAAAAGAGAGAGACACCGGACACTTTTTTCCCAAAACAAATGTCATGCAAATCCGGTTGCGCTTTAATCGAAAATAAGCGGTTAACCATGAATTCTGATCGAATCGCGTGATGTGGTGGACGTGAAAATGCGATATTACAAGAATGCCGACATGGAAATGTTTATACGCCAGGCTTGGAGATTTTTCCACATGCAATGGCTCTTAAATGTGCATGTGCACGTGACGTTTATCGAAGAGCATGCACATGACGCAGCAAGCCCGATTCAATTCGCGCGTGCTTCCTCGACGTGAAGAAAAAAGAAAAGGAAGCCATACAAAGAAGAGAAAGATCCGACTATATCGAATCGATCGAATTATGTGGCACAAGAAACAGCTTATGTAGTAAATAAAAAAAGTCGCAAGCTCTCCAATTCTCGATTTTACTAAATAATAACTTTACGATATATTGCGATTTATTGCGGCAATAAAGAAGAAATTGCTGATCTATTCAATAACATTAAGGTAATACGGCAGTGTTTGGATAAAATATTGCAGTTTGGTATTCCTATTATTTGATTAGTTTTGTTGCATAAGCGAATTACATTGTAACGTGGAACGCATAAACTGTCGAGAACTTGCCTCTGACTTTGTTTATCAAGAGTCTGGCTTGCAAGCGGCGTATCGTGTTTGCTGAATAGAAATTAATTGATCTTTAAAGCAATAAACTTCCAATTTAAACGTCTAGCAGTTTCACGTTTCATGTTTAATTGCCAGCACGATATAATTTGCAGCATATCGTTTCTCGTTGCTCTTATGAAAACAATGAGCAAAAAAAGAACGTATTTGATACGGTACAACAACACACGACTAATCGTTATATTTATCTCATTTATAGCAATAAAACTCGTCACGTGATCGTAGCTCGCTTTGGGTGAAGATTTAGCAAATTTTCACGTCATACAGAATCAGCTTGGCGAATAATGGCTCGTGATATATGGAGGTTCCAAGCCAGGGTTATCTGAAAATTTCAACCGCGGATATTCAGACATTTCCATCGCGATATGTCATTAAAGCAGCTCTGTGAGTATTCGCATATCCGAATGCCGGGTACGTCGCGAGAGGCGAGAGATGATGTGTGCCGCCGGATAAGTCCGCCTCATAGAGAAAAAAGAATTCGCTTACCATTCAGCACGTGGACCATTACGCTCGCTGGATTCGCGTTGCTAGGGATGCAGGTGTAATTTCCGCTGTCGGTCAATCTGGCCTGTGTCACCAGTAGTCTGCTTGTCGTCCCAGTATCCGTTTTCTCCGTCTCCAGGGAAACCCCGCCCCTGCGGTGTACACTGAATTATCGCAGATACTTTGGCGCCGTTCTCGTCACACACATTGCTACTTTGTCATTAATTCTCTCTGCAGGGAGGAGGCGCAGCTTACAGAACGAAACGTCGGCAAAAAGCGTAATCGTGTAAAACGTATACACGTATATAAACTGCAACGCGAGCTCGTTCGCAACGCGTTGTCAAACGTTTGCTGATAAATGTGCGCAAATAAAGCGTGTATAAATAAAAGATTTATTCGCGTGAGATGTCTTCCTATAAAACTGATGTACGAGATAAGCTAAAGACGCGATAATTGCAAACCTGTCATAATATTTTTAATGACTGACGTATGATTGTTCTTCGGCGTTGCAAATATATTTTGTCATCACTGCAGA